GAAAAAAAAAAGTCAAAAAAAGTACAATTATTATGAAATAGAGGAGTAGGCTTAATCTTTTTATAGAGATAAAATAAAAATAAATATATTAAATAATATCTTTAAAAAATAACTAAATTTAATATTTTTAATTAATTATTAAAAATTATCTATTAAATAGAGGAGTAGACTTAATCTTTTTATACAGATAAAATAAAAATAAATATATTAAATAATATCTTTAAAAAAGAACTAAATTTAACATTTTTAATTAAAAATTTTCTATTAATGATAAAAATACAATTAATGCATATACTACATCTAATGATGAAGGTTAGAAAAGTCCTTACCGATATTACTACTAGCACAATTAACAACCCAAGGTGACACGAAAACTAAACAAAATTTACTAACGAATCTGGTTCAAGTAATGATAACTTAATTTTTTTTAAATAAAATTTTAAATTTGAATATTATAAATAAAAAAATAAGTATTGAAGAAATTTTTTTTAATGAAATTCAATACTATTTAATTTTAAATTAATTGAAAGTTAATTTGATTAACAAGTAGTTAATAAAAAAAAAACTAAACAAATCTTGATTTGAAGGATACCAAACGTGCGTGTTGGTACGAGTGGGATTAACTTTTAAACCAGCCTTTGACGGCCATGATGATTCCTCCGTCTCAACGTGGACAAACTCAGAAAGATTCAACCGTCCCCACTCCCTCCCCCCTACCCCCAAGATCCTGCGATTTACTTTCAAGTTTGCAATTTCAACCTATCATCTCCTGCCACCTGTTACCTCCGGAAACCAAGTGTCAATTAAACGACCTCGTTTCCCCCACATTCGAAGTTAAAACAAATGGAGGAAAAAAAAAGAAAAGAAAATCTAGAAATTTGGTTGGTGATGGATGATGTTGCGAGCTGGGAAAAAGGTAAGGCCGCCAAGTTGTTGGCATTCTGCTCAGAGTTATGAATCTAACCAGAAGAATCTCTTCCACCTTCCCTCAAGTTATTGGATTTGCAAAGAGATCTCTCTGTTCCTTCAAATTCCCCGGAGA